TGTCTTTTCGCAGATGCACATTTCCATTTCTTCTGGGTAAATACCCAGGGTTAGAATTAGTGGGTCACAGGATCACGTATGTGAAATGTTTTAAGAAACTCCCAACCCTTTCCCAAGTGCTTATCCGTTCTATGCTCCTGTCTGCAACGTGCCCCGCCATTTAGCAACTGGGTCGGGCTTTCTAGATTTCATCCATCCTAGTGGGTGTGTAATGCTGCTACCTCACTGGCCTCATAAGATTTGCATTTCTCTGATGAGTGATCATGTTGAGCACTTTTCATACGCTTACTGGTCATTCAGAGATTTTCTTTTTATGAAATGCCTCTTCAAGGCTTTTGTCCATTTTTAAATTGGGTTGTCTTTTTATAACTAATCAGTAGGTGTTCCGTATACATTATGGATAAAAGGCCTTTGTCAGAAATACGTGTTGTGAATCTCTCCCCCGTCTCTGGTTTCTCATTTCACTTTTTTAATAGTCTTTTGATAAAGAGAATTTTAAATTTTGGTGAGTCTAATTTGGAAGTGGTAATGGTGGACATCATTGACTTATTCTCAATCTTGGAGAAACATTAATATTTCACTGTTAAGTATGATGTTACTTATAGTGTTTTGCAGATACCGTATATTAGCTTGAGGACATTCCTCTCCCTTGTTTTCTGAGAGCTGAATTACAGGGTGGGTTGAATATTATCAAATGGGTTTTCTTTACCTCTTGAATTGATTGTATAAAGTTACCCCCTTTATTTGTCTCCCTCTTTATTCTGTTAATGTGGTTAGTTTTACTGATTAAAGTTTTGAATGTTTCTAATTTCCTTTAGCAGACTTTCTCGGCCGTGAGGCATTGCCCTTTTCGCATACTGCTAGCTTTGGTTTGCTAATACTAGGTTAAGGTGTTTGCTTCTGTGTTTACAAGGAGCACAGGTCTGTGCTTTCCTTGTGACATCCTTGTTAGGCTTCTGTATGGGAGCTTTGCTCGTCTGTGAAAGGAGCGTGGCAGCCACCCCTCCCCCCCTTATCTGTTCTTCGGAAGTTTCTGTGTGGCTTTAAGTATTCTTTCCTTCAGCGTTTGACACAATTCCATCGAAGCCATCTGGGCCAACCTTTCTGGGAAGGTTTTTAATTAAGGATTCAGTTTCTTTAATAGATGTAGGACTTCGAATATTTTCTATTTTGTTTCTTGTGTCAGTTTTGGTACTTTAAAAAAAATAATTGTGCATTTCATCAAAATTGTCAAATTTATTGGCATAGGGTAGTTTATAATTTCTCCTCATTATCCTTTTAATATCTTTCGGATCCGTAGTGATGTCTCCTTTAGGTGTCTGATATTGGTAGTTTATGTTTTCTTTCTTTTTTCTTGATCGCTCTTGTCTTAGAGGCCTGTCAACTTTATTATCTTTTCTAAGAACCAACCGTGTTGATTTTCCTCTAATGCACCTGTGCTTTATATTCCTGTTCCTTCTGTTTCTTATTATTCCCTTCCTTCATCTTCATGACACACTGCTACTATTGTTGTTTTAAACAGTCAGGGGTCCTTAAAATTTTTTTAAATTACCCATATATTTCTTTTTCTGGCGCTCTTCATTTCTTCCTTCAGATCTGTGTCTCCCTCTTGGGTCGTTTCCCTTAATCCTGAAGAATTCTTTTGATAGTTTTTATAGTGCAGCTTAAAAATATATATATTTATTTTATTTTATTTATTTTTGGCTGCATTGGGTCCTCGTTGCTGCGAGCGGGCTTTCTCTAGTTGTGGCGAGCGGGGGCTATTCTTCATTGTGGTGTGCGGGCTTCTCATTGCGGTGGCTTCGCTTGTTGAGGAGCACAGGCTCTAGGCACGCGGGCTCAGTACTTGTGGCTCATGGGCTCAGTAGTTGTGGTGCACGGGCTTAGTTGCTCTGCAGCATGTGGGATCTTCCTGGACCAGGGCTTGAACCTGCACTGGCAGGTGGATTCTTAACCACTGCGTCACCAGGGAAGCCCTGTAGTGCAGCTCTGCTGAAGACAAATTCTCTCAGCTTTGTTTCACTGAAAATGTTTTCATTGCATTGTCCTTTTTTAAAAATAGCTCTATTGAGATGTAATTCACATACCATAAAATTCACTTATCGTGAACGATGTAGGGATTTTACATGAATTTATAGGATTTGTTCAACTATTATCTCAGTCCCTATTCCCACACCCAGCCCCTGGGAACCACTGTCTGTCCTCCGTCTCCACAGCGTTTCCTTTTCTGGGCTTTGTGTGTAAGTGGAATCATAGAACGTGTGGCCTTCTGGGTCTGGCTTCTTTCACTCTGTAGAACGTCTGAGTTCTGTCCACGCTGTAGCATGTGTATTAGTAGTTTGTCCCTTTGGCCCCTGGCTAGTGCTTCAGCATGTGGCCGGGCCACGTTTGGTTCACCCATTTATCATTTATTGGGCATTTGGGTCAGTTCCAGTTTTTGCTCTGGGCATTTACGTACAAATCCTGGTGTGGACATTCTTCATTTACCTTGTGTGGATAAGTAGGATTAGAATTGCTGGGGTGTGCGATGTTGATTGTTAGCATTGTAAGAAACTGCCCCACTTTCCCACAGTGGCTCTTCGTCCCCGTTCTCTTCAGCAGTGCGTGAGGGCTCGTTTCCCCACATCCTCACCAACGTTTGTTTTGTTGGTTTTTAAAACCATTGTTATGGTCATTGTAGTGGATATGACGTGGTATCTCATTGTGGTTTAAATTTGCATTTCCCTAGTCACTGAGGACGGTGAGTGTTTTTTCATGGTCTTATTTGCGTCCATGTATCTTCTTTGCTGAACTATCTATTGGGATGTTTGCCCATTTGTAAATTGGGTTATTTGTCTTCTTCGTATTGAGTTTATATATTCTGGATCCTGTCCTTTATCACATAGATGGTTTGCAGATATTTTCTCCCATTTGGGCTTGTCTTTTCATTTTCTTAATGATATCTTGTGAAGCACGCATGCTTTAACTTTTGATGAGATCTATTTTATCAGTTTTTTAATTTCATAGATCATGTTTTTGCTGTCGTATCTAAGAAATCTTTGCCTAACCAAAGGTCATGAAGATTTTCACCTATGTTTTTTCCTGAAAGTTTTATAGTTTTAGCTGATACGTTTAGGTCTCTGATCCACTTGGGATTAATTCTTAGGTACGGGGCGGTAAGGGTCGAAAGTTCATCCTTTCGGATGTGCATATTCAGTTGTCCCAGCGCTGTTTGTTGAAAAGATTATCCTATGGAAGTGACTTGGCTCCTCTGTCAAACTCAATTGGCCATCATCATATTGATTTGTTTCTGGGCATCTGCTCCGTTCGTCTGTGTGTCTGATCTTACGGCAGCCTCACACGGCGTTGAATGCTGGTGCTTTGGAGTAAGTTTTGGGTCAGGAAGCGTGCGTCCTCCGCCTTCCTCCCTCCTTCTCACATTTGCTGTAACTCTTCCGAGGCCTCTGCCTTTCCCTGTAAACTGCAGGGTCAGCTTGTCAATTTCCGGAAAACACAGCTGCTGGGGTTTGGGGAGAGCTGCCACCTTAGCAACACTGAGTCTTCCCATGTGTGGATGTGGATGTGTCTCCACTGACCGAGCACGTCTGTCTTTCCTGTCATCTTGTCCCACACGTGGTGACACTCTTCTCTTTGTCCTCTTTCCTGTCTGTACTTCGGTTTAGATCATTTCCATTGACTGCTGTCTTTGCTGCGTCTAGTCTGTTCAGCGTATCCAGTGAATTCCTAGTTTCACATAATGTACTTTCCAGCTTGTAATGGTTCTCTTGCAGTTCCACTTCTCTGATGAAATCCTTGATCATCCCCCATTTCATTCACCTTTTCTGAATCTCTTAACCTACTTATTAATTTAAATTCCTTGTATGATTCCAACATCCGTATTGAGGGGTTGCTTCTATTGACTTTTTTCTTAGTTATGGGTCACATTTTTCTCTTTTCATACATGATTTCTTTTATTTCCTGCGGTTCGCGGGCCTCTCACTGCTGTGGCCTCTCCCGCTGCGGAGCACAGGTTCCAGACGCGCAGGCCCAGCGGCCACGGCTCACGGGCCCAGCCGCTCCGCGGCACGTGGGATCTTCCCGGACCGGGGCACAAACCCGCGCCCCCTGCATCGGCAGGCGGACTCCCAACCACTGCGCCACCAGGGAAGCCCCATACATGCTTCATAATGGGGGCGGGGTTGTCTTTAAAAGAACGATGTAATTTTCCCCCCAAAGAGGAGTGCCTTTGCTCTGTCAAGCAGCTGTGGTGAGGAGGTAATTGCAAGTGTGCGATCAGGGACTGGGGCAGGCCGGGCTGGCTGCAGCGTTTTGGCTGCCTTGAGGGGGAAGGCTGTCTGTGTGGGGCGTGCTGAGCACGCAGCACCCCGCGCTCCCCGTCCCGCCCTGACCATGGGCTCATGCGGTGGCTGAACGGAGAGAGCCCCTTCTCCTGAAGATGAGGGCTAACACACGAGCACGTTCTCAGCATAAGCTGAGAAACTTGAAGCATCTTTATATTAAAACGAGAAGCATTCGTTACAGAGTAAGATACAAACTTCACATGACTTCTTCGGAGAAAACTGCAGACGCCATCGGCTCCCCGTGCGTGCGTGCCCATCTGCCAGACGCTGTGCTCAGGCCCACCGGGCCCCTCCTGCAGCTCTGTCCGCCCTCGTCCGCTGGAAAAGTCTGAGGCGCCACGTCTCCCCTGACGGCAGATCCGAGGCCGGTGCCCAGGCCCAGGGCCACTCCTCCCCCCGGTCCTCTTCCTCCTCACGGGCCGCCCCTGAGGCCAGACGCCAGTGTCCCCTGCACAGTGACTCCACGGAAGGTCCGGGAGCTTGTGTCACCCTGTCAAAGCGAGACCCCCTTTGAGACGGGAGCCGCTTACAGACTCTCTGACGCTTAAGAAAAGGGGGGTCCTCTGCTGGGAGCACTCGTCATGGAACCGAGGGTCCGTACGTGTCTGTGCATGCGTGTCTTCTAATCTTTTTGCTGTGTGCTTCCTTTTTTCTTTTCAGGTTTGGGAAAAGTTCTTAAGCTCTGAAACTCCACGGATTAATGTGTTTATGGCAGTGCCTACCATATACAGCAAGTTGATGGACTATTACGACAAACATTTTACCCACCCTCATGTCCAGGATTTCGTGCGTGCGGTTTGTGAAGAAAAAGTCAGGTAAATGAAAATCGTCCACCTTCCCACCCAGAGAGCCACGCATAACTTCCTTTTAGTGAGTCACTTCTACTAAGTCTTGGGAAGCAGTATTTTTTCTCTGCTTTAAAATGTGTGTCTACATCTCTCTCTACGTATCCGTGCTCCCAACGCAGCTGCCTGTGTTCTGTATCCGTGTCTCTGTTCTATCTCTGGGTCTCTCTGTCCCTCTGTCTCTGTCTGTCCACCTGTCTTCCGGTAGAGTCTGAAGGACGAGGATGGGGAAGTCCTTTCTGACCCCACACCTGCTGGCTCTCAGCCCTGCCCCCTCCCCGACCCCATGCAGACACACTCCCTGACAGACGTGTGGCTGTCTGGCCCCTTCGGTGGCATGGGGTTTGCTCTGCGTGTTCCCACGAGCCTGCCGACTGCAGCTCCTCTCTGCTCGTGGTCCAGCGGTTCATCTGCAGAGCACACGGAAGTGAGCGGTTTGGCAGGTCTTCGCAGGCATGATGACACGTGCGCCCAAGAGGTGTGACACGTGTGTCTGTGGCAGACGCAGCCTTTAACAGGGCAGCGAGTTGGCGCTGGACAGCCACGAGCTTCATGGCCTCTGTGCATCTGATTCCTAGTCCTTGAGAGGAGCTCAGGAAAGCCCTTCGTCTCCTGGAGAGAATTTCCAGTTACCCAAGACGAGCATTTCATCTTGTTCTGCTCCCATTCAGCCACTCTGCGCCTTTTCTGTAAAGACGTTTTGATGGAACTAGAGCCCTTTTCTGAGGGTGCCACGCCAGCACCTCCCTGGACTGGCCTCCCACGAGGCGCCATGGTGGGGCTGGGATCCAAAGCCCAACCGCCAGGACAAGAGTGGGACTGGTAGCACGATGTACCCGGATCTCAGGAGCCAAGGGCAAGAATGAGATCAGAGAGGGGGGATGAGGGTGACTCTGGGTGACAGGCCCTCAGGCCTCAGCAGCCGGGCTCCTGGTGGGGGGGGGGGGGCTCCTTGTGCCTGCACCTCCGGGGGGGAGCACAGGGGTGGTCGTTGCTCCGGCCCCCAGTACAAGCAGAAGCACCTTCCTTCCTGCACACAGTGCTTTCGGGACATGGCGCATGCCGAGGCTCTCATATCAGATCGATGTCATCGTCAGTGAGCCGTCAGCACCAGGCAGTGTTCTTGGAGGAGCCCCCGTGCGCCCCTCACTGGAGACTGCCTGCTTCCGTCTCCCCCTCCTCCGCCTCAGACCCGGTGGTGCTTTGTCCCCGAAGCAGACAAGCTGTCATCACGTTACTCTTATCACTGCTCTTCTCGGGGCTGTTTGTGGACAGCACGTTGACTGTCTGCAGAGCGCGCCGCCAGGGGCCCTCAAATCACTTTTCCTTTTACTGTGATTACCCCTTGACCTATTTGCATTCTAAAATATACCCAAGATTCTTTCCAAAGGACAGAGTTAAATTTCAGCCCGAACTGCACCTTTCACCGTGAGTTAAAGGGTGACGGTGACTGGGGTGCTGGGCGCGTGTGGCTCTCACCGGGCTGAAGAAGCCACGTGCTCCCGAGAGCTCAGGAGCCTGTGGTTGTGCCGGGCAGGTTGATGGTCTCGGGCTCGGCCGCCCTGCCCCTGCCTGTGCTGGAGAAGTGGAAGGGCATCACCGGCCACACTCTGCTGGAGAGGTACGGGATGACGGAGATCGGCATGGCCCTGTCCAACCCCCTGACCGCAGCTCGCCTGCCAGGTACGAGTGGCGCCCGCCAGCCGTGTCCTCCCTCTGCTCTGGGTCCTCGGGTAGGCCGTTCTGTGGAGGATGCTCCCCTGCTGGGCTACGGTCACGTTCTCAGGGTGGCAGTGTCCTTCCCAGGTGACCCAGACGCCGTGTGCTTGGCAGGGCGCCCCCCCCCCCAACCTCCCGGGCTGGGGGCTGCTTCCGTCCAGACCAGGTCGCCCGCGGCCCAGAGTTTCCCATGCAGGTGCCCTGAGCCACACAGGCCAGTGGCAGCGGGAGAGACGGCAGGTGTCGGGGGCAAGGGAGGAGGGACACCCCGCCTGTGCTCGGGGACCTGCACGCGTCTGGAGGGCCTGCTGCTCTAGACGGGTTCCTGCCCTTTGATCTTCCTGTCCCGCCTTCTCTAGGCCATTCCACATAAACAGCCTTCACGTCCCGGGTCCCTGACAGGGCACCTGCAGGCGGAGCCTGAGGCCTGAGACGTGAGTCTGTTCTGTATTGGGCCCTTTTCTAGCCCTCCCGGTCAGTACCCTCCAGCTTGTCCAAAACACAGTAGGCGTCTGGAAATAAACGTTAAGTCATCGTGTGCCTGTACTTGCCTCTGTGCATCCACTTGTCTTGCACGACAGTAAAAGGCACCCTTCTCGTGGGCAGGTCTGAGTTTTCAGTGTGTCTGCCGTCATACTCAGGTAGACGAAGTTGAATCACCTCCAGACCTTCCCCCTTTCGCGGTCAGCGCCTCCTGCCCCAGGCCGGCGAGCACGTCCCTGGTTCCTCTCCCTGTAGCTGTGCGTTTCCTGGAACGACACAGAGGCACAGCCTCCAGGACCTGCCTTTGGGTCTGGCTTCCCTCACTTGGCAGGACAAGTGTAAGACACATCCTGTGCCGAGCAGCATCTGCGGCGTTAACCTGTCCGCCACCGAAGGACGCTGGGTCGTGTCTAGCCTCGGACAGCTCCCAGTCGGGCCGTCGTGAAGGTCTGTGTGCAGGGTTTTGTGCGAATGCGTCTTTACATCTCGTGGGCAGATGCCTCAAAGTACAACTGCTGGGTCAGAAGGGGGCGTGAACTTGATTTTCTAAGAAGCTGCAAACTGTCCACACGACAGCCCCGATACTGGGCTGGTCTTACCCCTCTGATGGCCTTGGAGAAGTCACACAGACGGAGCAGGTGCTCGCACTGTTGGACCAGGACACCCTCTGTCGGGCGGGGGCAAAGGCCCCGGGACAGAGGGACCTGCGCCCGGGCCCTAAACCCGAGGCTTCTGGGCAGAAATTCTCGAATCTTAATAGGCTGCAGCTCTTCAGGCTCAGGGTTCTGCCGTGGCTGTGCGTGGCCTCTTCTCGACACCGGAACCAAGCGCCCGGGGTCTTTTCTCGCCCGTGAAGCAGGCGGCTTACAGTGGGTATACGGCCGGCTCTTTGGTTTAGAAACGATGAAGGAAGCAGCCGTCAACCTTGAATCCGGGAGTGAGTCCCTGAGCGCCGCTTCCGGAGCAATCAGGCTGTGTCCTCTGTGCCCCTGACTCCTGGGCCGGGCTCCTTCCAGCCGGGACTCTGGACTGCTCCAGGGACACATCCTGCCAGCCTGGCCCATCACAGGTTCCCTGGCGGCCCGGAGGGGCGCGTGGCCTGAAGGATACTGTTTGCTCGGCTGAGGCCCGGGGTGGTGACCTGAACTGCTGGGCCTGACATCCGCTGATCGGAGGTTGCTATCAGATACAGGGCTTGCCAGACAGGCGCTCCAGGACCCAGTGAGGCACAGTCACAGGAGGCCGGACAGAGCCACAGGACAATTAAAGTCACCTGGCCACAGATGACACCGTTCTAAAGGGAGGCGGAAGGACAGCCTGCCCTTCTGACTGCAGCCAGCCTGTTGCCCAGTGGACACCAGGAGGACATTCAGTCCCTGCGGGTGTGGGAGGGGCCGCGTCCACGCGGTCTTGGCGGGGCCGCATCACGCGGTGTGGGCTGGGCCGCGTCCACGTGGTGTGGGCGTGGCAGCGTCACACGGTGTGGGAGGGGCAGTGTCAGGCGGCCTGGGAGGGGCAGCCTCACGTGGCCTGGGGGGGGCAGCGTCACGCGGCGTGGGAGGGACAGCGTCCACACGGTGGGGGAGGGGCCGCATCACACGGTGTGGGCGGGGCAGTGTGCACGTTGTGTGGGTGGGGGCCGCGTCAGGCGGTGTGGGAGGGGCAGCGTGCACGAGGCGTGGGAGGGGCAGCATCACGCGGTGTGGAAGGGACAAAGTGCACGCGATGTGGAAGGGACAGCGTGCACGCGATGTGGGAGGGGCTGCGTCACGCAGTGTGGGAGGGGCAGCATGCACGTCGTGTGGGCGGGGCAGCATGCACGTCGTGTGGGCGGGGCCGCGTCACGCGGTGTGGGCGGGGCAGCGTGCATGCAGTGTGGGCGGGGCAATGTGCACTAGGCGTGGGAGGGGCAGTGTCACGGGAGGTGGGAAGGCCCCCATCCCATGGTCTGGGAGGGACTGCATCACGCGGTGTGGGAATGGCCGTGTCATGCGGTCTGGGAGGGGAAGCCAGCACGCGGTGTGGGGAGGGCAGCACGCACGTGGTGTGGGCGGGGCTGTGTGTACGTGGTGTGGGCGTGGCAGCGTCATGCGATGTGGGCGTGACAGTGTCTCGTGGTGTGGGGGCGCCGCATCAGGCGTGGGAGGGACAGCGTCCACGTGGTGTGGGAGGGGCCGCGTCACGTGGTGTGGGGGGGCAGCGTGCCCGTTGTGTGGGCGGGGCCGCGTGTACGTGGCGTGGGCGGGGAAGCGTCCCGCAGTCTGGGAGGGGCAGCGTCAGGTGTGGGAGGGGCAGCGTGCACGTTGTGTGGGCGGGGCAGCGTGCCCGTTGTGTGGGCGGGGCCGCGTCTCGTGGTGTGGGGGCGCCGCGTCCCGCAGTCTGGGAGGGACAGCGTCAGGTGTAGGAGGAACAGCGTCCACGTGGTGTGGGCGGGGCAGCGTGTACGTGGCGTGGGAGGGGCAGCGTCACGCGGTGTGGGCGGGGCAGTGTCAGGCGGTCTGGGAGGGGCCGCCTCACGTGGCCTGGGAGGGGCAGCGTCCATACGGTGAGGGAGGGGCCACGTCACGCGGTGTGGGCGGGACAGTGTGCACGTTGTGTGGGTGGGGGCCGCGTCAGGCGGTGTGGGAGGGGCCGGGTCACCGCGGTGTGAGCGTGGCAGTGTGCACGAGGCGTGGGAGGGGCAGCGTGCATGCAGTGTGAGAGGGGCAGCGTGCACCTGGCGTGGGTGGGGCAGCGTCACGCGGTGTGGAAGGGACAGCGTGCACGCGATGTGGGAGGGGCTGCGTCACGCGGTGTGGGAGGGGCAGCATGCACGTTGTGTGGGCGGGGCCGCGTCACGCGGCGTGGGCGGGGCAGTGTGCGCTAGGCGTGGGAGGGGCAGCGTCACGGGGGATGGGAAGGCCCCCATCCCATGGTCTGGGAGGGACTGCATCACGCGGTGTGGGAGGGGCCGCGTCTATGCGGTGTGGGAATGGCCGTGTCATGCGGTCTGGGGGGGCAGCGTGCACGCGGTGTGGGGAGGGCAGCACGCACGTGGTGTGGGCGGGGCAGCGTGTACGTGATGTGGGCGTGGCAGCGTCACGCGGTGTGGGCGTGGCAGCGTCTCGTGGTGTGGGGGCGCCGCGTCTCGCAGTCTGGGAGGGACAGCGTCCGGCGTGGGAGGGACAGCGTCCACGCGGTGTGGGAGGGGCCGCGTCACGCGGTGTGGGCGGGATAGCGCCCGTTGTGTGAGTGGGGCCGCGTGTACGTGGCGTGGGAGGGGCCGCGTGTATGTGGTATGGGCGGAGCAACATCACGCGTTGTGGGCCGGGCCGCGTCACGCGTTGGGGGGGCCACGACCCGCGGTCTGGGAGGGTCCGCGTCCCGCTGCGTGGGAGGGGCAGCCTCAGGCAGCCTGGGAGGGGCAGTGTCACGCGGCGTGGGAAGGACAGCGTCCACGCGGTGTGGGCGGGGTAGCGTGCACGTTGTGTGGGCGGGGCCGCTTCTCCCGGTGTTGGAGGGGCAGCGTGCACGTGGCGTGGCCGGTGTAGCATCACGTGCATGGGACGGGCAGCGTGCACTTGGCGTGGGCGGGGCTCCAACTAGTTGGGTGTAGGAGGCTGGCCCTGCTCTGTTCCACCCACTGGGGTAGGGGCGGGGGCTTCTGGAGTCTGAGCAGCTGCCCTGCCCTAACAGTAGTCTCTGCCGTTTGTAGACCTAACTTTAACAAATCATAGGTGTTTTTGTGGCGATTTTAATGCCACCGTTGTGGTAGTAGTGCTGTAATTCTGTCAGCGTTTTCTTTTTTATATATATAAATTTATTTTATTTATTTTTGGCTGTGTTGGGTCTTAGTTGCTGTGCGCAGCCTTTCTCTAGTTGCCGCGAGTAGGGACTGCTCTTCGCTGTGGTGCGCAGGCTTCTCATTGCGGTGGCTTCTCTTGTTGCAGAGCATCGGCTCTAGGCGTGCGGGCTTCAGTAGTTGTGGCTTGTGGGTTCAGTAGTTGTGGTGCACGGGCTTAGTTGCTTCGCTGCATGTGGGATCTTCCCGGACCAGGGCTGGAACCTGTGTCCCCTGCATTGGCAGGTGGATTCTTAACCACTGCGCCACCAGGGAAGCCCTGTCAGTGTTTTCTTTATAGACATTCTTAGCAGTTCAGGTTTCATTGAATAGGGGGGACAGTCCTGACTTCCTTAGGATGGGAGAGGGGCTGGAGGTTGAATCAAGTACCAGTAGCCAATGATTTAATCAATTGTACCTGCATAATAGAACTTTCATAAAAACCCAAAACAAGGCTGGTGAACACAGGTTGGTGTTGGAGTGTGATGTGCCTGGAGAGTGTGCAAGTTTAGAGACTCCCACCCACCCACATACTTGATAGAGGTGTGTCTTCCATCTGGCTGTTCCCACCTTGTATCCTTTGTAATGAAGTGATATTCTAGGAAGTGACCTGTTTTCTTGGGTTCTGCGAGCTGCTCTAGCAAACCGTTTAATCCCAGGAGGGGCCCAGGGAACCCCCAGTTTGCAGCCAAGTTGTACAGAAGTTGTGGGTAGGTGGGGACATGCCCCTGTGACTGTCAGTCCTGTGGGACTGAGGGCAGCCACTCACCTCCCTGGAGGCCACAGCAGATCCCATAGGGTTCCCTTCTCCACAGCATCTCCCCACATCTCCCTGTGTTCCCAGCGCCTGGATGGAGCCTTTGCTTCCTCCTTGCTGTAAGTGTTGCTGAACTGAGCCAATTTACTGACACTGGGTTGTGGTGAAGGAAAGTGCAGGATCCAGGCAAGGAGAGCAACTGGCTGGTGTTCAAAGGACCCAGACTCCTTATGGCTTTCAGGGAAGGGCTATTAAAGGCGACATTTTCGGGGAGGGCTGCAGGATGTGTGACATTCTTCTGACTGGTTGGTGGTGAGGTAACAGGGTGGTGTCCCAGGAATATCAGTCATCAGCCTTCTGGTTCCAACGAGTCTGGGGGTCTCAGCATGTAGCCACCATCCTCCACCTGGGTGGGGGACTTAGTTCACGCGGAACAACTCCAAGATGTGCGTCAGATTAGTGTGTACGTCCCTTGAGGAGGAGGTACGACTCTGTCTTACTACCGATTTATTGTTTGAGCTCGGAGGTAACTGCTTTTTCTTTGTGTCTGTGTTCCTCTGTTTCTCTAATTAGTAACTGCCTCAGTCTGCTCTCTGGATCTCAGGGAAGGTTTAGGAGACTAAAGTGTCTTTTTACAAACACGAAACGAGGGACGTGGAGGGGCTTTCGTACTCCGAGGATTCCCCAGGGCTCACACTTCAGGAGGCGTCGCCGTCTGGAGGGCTTGGCCCTGAGCAGGCGTCACACCACTGCGGGGACGAGAGCTCAGAGGAAACGGGAGGAGGAGCAGATTTCACTCCTGAGCGAGGCGGCTGCTCGTGCTTAAGGTTCTGTACTTGGTTTAATGAAGTGCCTTGTGATGAAATCATCACGTTCCGCCTGACGGCTCTAGGTGTGTTCATGGGACGCTTTACTTCTGATGAAATCATCACGTTCCGCCTGACGGCTCTAGGTGTGTTCATGGGACGCTTTACTTGTGCCACATACTAAAGGAATCACCCTGACCAGTCTCAGAAAGTGATAAATCAATTCACACAGCAAGAAATCCTCTTACTGCCTGGGAGCCCAGGAAGAAGGACCATCAGCCTAGTGGGCCCGACCGATGTCCTCTTACACACGGCCTTTCTCTCCTGCACTTTATCAACCCATTTCTTCCCTTAGACCTTCTGTTCTGTGGCTTTTACACACACACCGAGGGCTAAATCCTAGGTCAGCTTGCTGACATTTGGCCATGGAATATGAGCAATTGGGAGTGATGTGAAGACCTGGGAAAATCTCCAAGATGCCTGGGCCTGGTCTGTAACCAAGCAGTCAGAGCTGTGGCCCTGCCGGTGCTTATCAGACGTGAGGTCCAAGGAGGAGCAACGCAGACGACAGGGCTGAGCCAGACGCTTCACTGGAGACAGATCCAGAGGGAAGCTACGACGCTGAGGTCCGCTGGGAAACACATCTCGAGTGTCGGGACTGTGGCCGCCTTGGCCCCGGGTCCTGCAGAGCCTGCAGGACGGCAGGGCTTGGCCCCAGCTCACGTTCACAGCCTAGGTCTTGTCTCTGGTCCTCGTGTCTTGTCTGCAGCTGAGGTGGAACACCTCCTGTTCCAGGCTGTCTCCCGTCTTGAGCATCCTGGCACTCGTGCAGCCACTGGCCCCAGCAGGAAGAGAGGAGGATACATGCCTGGCGGCTCCTTTCATACACAACATCCGGGGGGCAAGTCCACAGAGAATGGGTTAGTGGTCGCTGGGGTCGGGGGAAGATCCGACAGCTGACGGGGACAGGTTTCCTTCTGGGCTGATGGAAAGTTCTGGAGCTAGATGGAGGTGCTAATGGAACGATGTTGTGAATGTGCTTAATGCCCCTGAATCCTAGGCTTTATAATGAATAGTTGCATCATATATGGATTTCACTGTAGTTTTTAAATCTTTGGAAGCAAAAGAGAAGGAGGGGAGGAGGGAGGAGGAAGATGCGGCGGGGGCGGCCCCCAGGACCTCAGACAGAAGACGGGCTGAGGAGGACAGGGCAGCGCCATCTAGCAAGCGGAGCCCTGTGTCGCAGACCTTTCCAGGCGTGTGGATCCTAGAGCACTAAGCAGCTCGTGGAGTTTGCCAAGTGGGCTTCCCGGGACTTTGCTCCTGTGACAAGTCCTCATTGATAACAGTTAAAATACAGGCCCTGAGGGGCTTCCCCGGTGGCACAGTGGTTGAGAGTCCGCCTGCCGATGCAGGGGACGCGGGTTCGTGCCCCGGTCCGGGAAGATCGCACATGCCGCGGAGCGGCTGGGCCCGTGAGCCATGGCCACTGGGCCTGCGCGTCCGGAGCCTGTGCTCCGCAACGGGAGAGGCCACAACAGTGAGAGGCCCGCGCGCCGCAAAAAAAAAAAAAAAAAAGGGCCTGAGACCTTGAGGTGAAGCGTTTGGCCCTGGAACCTCTGCCCCGCCTCAGCTATTCATTCCAGTGGCCACGGGGACTCCACTGCGGCCAGGGCACCACCTGCCCTAACCTTTGCAGGTTCAAAAGCTGATTATAGCCACACAGGGGTGAAGACGCTGAGGCACGCACAGGCGCCTAACAAGCGAGCCGGGACGCTGGCTGTGTCACCCCTGCCGTGAGGACCCGCTCGCCCTCTGGCATCTGGCCCACTGCAGTCCCTCACCAGCGACAAACTGCGGTCATCAGTGCCCTGACCGCTCAGCCAGGCGCTCCAGTGAGATAGAGGTGCCCTTGCATCTTGCCCTGGGCGCCGGGCGGCCCTCCCAAAGTGACCTGGAGGCCCTGTAGGGTGTTCGGAGCCCTGGCTGCCGCTCTGCGTGTCCCGCCTAAGGCTGTGCTACTGGCTCCTGGGGCTTCGCCCCGCTGTGTGCACGTGAGAAGGGGCAGGACCCCTGTGTGCGCACGTCATGTCCAGGCGGGATTCCCACGTGGGTGCACGTGACATCCACGCGGGATCCCCCCACCTCCGTGTGTGCACGTGACGTCAGGCAGACCCGAGCACCTCAGTGTGCAGCTCTGTCCTTCAGAATCCTGCTGACTGCCTCTTTCCCTCGCGCCTCCCCGCCCCTTGCAGGCTCTGTGGGGACCCCGCTGCCCGGCGTCGAGGTGCGCATTGTGTCAGAAAACCTGCAGAAGGACGGCTACCCCTACGTTGTCCACGCGGAGGGAAATGAGGAGGACACCAAGGTGAGCCCCTGTGTTCTCTCTGGCGGCACGTGGGCATCACACGGCCACGACCACCCAGGAGGCCGATGGCAGAGGTTGAGTCCCCACCGCTCGGGGACGGGCCTGAACTGCGGCGCCGCTGGCGGGCCTCGACTCAGGGCAGTGCTGGTGTTTGGGGCGTTGCCTGCCGTGTGGACGGTGCAGTGCAGAGTGAGGCCCAGCAGGGCTCCCCGCGCTCAGCCAGGCTCCTCCTGGGCTCTGTCCTCTGGGCCACGTTGAGATGGGTCCTGATAGCCTCAGCTAGGAGAACCCGAGTTCAAGCAGAGATCATTGTCGGCAGGATCTTGTTAAAAGTTCTGCGCTGGCGGGATGCTGGCACCCGCTCGGAGTGGACGCCGACAGTGTCAGCGGCCCCCAGCCTTGCAGTCGCCCATTTGGACAGATTCACGGAAGCTGTAAATTGAGGTTCCCCGCTTGGGAAGTCACTGTTCCCTGCTTTCTGTGCTGTTCTAAGCTCCGGGGGGCAACGGGAAGAGAGGACTGTTGTCTCGTTTCAGTGAGGACTTCACAGCCACAGGTCTGCTGGTCACGGGTGATCAGGGTCACAGCAGAGGTTCGGGTTTTGCTGGAGGTGGAATTTTGATTTGAGAGATTGTTTTCTCCACAGAGGATGTACATACTCTTGACCTCTGTCACCCTGAGAAGTTTTAAAAGCTGAAAGTAGCAGCGATCCTGCCTCTCACTTGTGCCGGGAGGGGCGGCGGACAGGCCCTGCCCTTGTGGGCCTCGGTCTGCAGTGGGAAACGGCAGCATTCAAGAGGTGGTTGTTGAATGTCTTAGCTCGAGAACGTAGGCGCAACTTGGGTGGTTTTTACTGTAATTTTATGAAAAATGACACCAAGAAGTATGTGTCCGTTTACACGAGAACCTCTCACCTGGACCCCCTTGCTGGGCTCGTGCCCCCTCGGCCTCTCCTCCCACATGTGATGGCCCTCCAGACCAGCCTTGCTCCCGCCCACTCTGTGTTGGCAGCTTTCAGGGTGGCCTCAAGGTCCCCAGCCGTGGCTCTCGCTCCCTGGCTGCCTGCTGCCTGGGCTCTTGCGTCAGCCCAGCTGGTCCAGGGCCGTCAGCCATGCCCATGGCTTAGGGTCCTTTTCTGGCTCTTGGCCTGTGCCCTGCGGTCCTCTCTGCCCCTCGGGGACTCGTGCTCACACCCGAGTCACCTGTCCCAGCGTCCAGCCCTCCTGCAGTAATGAGGCTGCCTCCCCTTGCTGGATGCTCGGTCCGTCGGTTCTGGGTGTCGTTCCGGGGACCCCGCTTGGGAGGAGGTCCCCAGCAGAGCAGCGTCGGGGGCATGTGGGTCCATCAGGCAGTAGCAGCACAGATGGCAGGGGGGCTCCTGCACTGCCCTGCCTGAGCACCTGTAATGCTGGGTGCGGCAGGGATGCTACCAGAGAGGAGGTGCGGGTGGACAGCGTCTCCCTCCTCAGTCACACTGAAGTTTAGCAACTTGGGGCAAGCAGCCGCCCCCTCACCCGGCTCCTGCTGGGGGCTGTAGGGGTTTCCTCAGTGAAACGCGCTCAGAATAGGTGGCAGCCTGGCCCTGAGCATCTTGACGGTCTGAGAAGGAAGCGCGTGGTCCACGGTGTGGGGGCTCGGGGGCGGTGGAGACAGGGCAGGGATGACGATCTGCTGGCCACAAGCGAGGCCTCATAAACGTGAAGTTAAGGAGACCTGGAGCTCGCGGCGGCGTGTTCTAGAACGTTTCCAACTCAGTCGAGGGATCAGTGAGACACACGGTCCAGAATGGAGCCGTCTCCATGGCCGATGACGGCCCGGGGCGGAGAGCGCAATCACAGGCCGGTTGCCCCCGGGGGCTGGGGTGGGCCTGGGCCTGGGCTCGCTCCCCGGCTCGTCAGAGGCCACCGCCGTCCCCCCCTCCCCGCTGCCGGCAGCACGACAGGGGCACTGCCCCGCGCCCGTGGCTTTCCTCAGGAGCCGCCTCCCGGCTGGGGTATTGCTCACCGCCCCGCCCCCGGGACCCTTAGAGGGGAACAAGGCCAGACTCCACACTCAGGCGGGCGAGACCTCCGTGGAGCCTCCGCCTGGGTCCCTGCGCTGCGCAGGACGGGCCTGGACGGGGTGCGCCCCAAAGGCAGGAGAACCGGGCTCAGGCCTTGCTGAGGAGGCGCCTGCGCTCGGCTTCTGTGACGTCACAGGCACTCCCCGTCGCTGACGGTGGCGGTGAGGAGGACACCGGCTGCTCGCCTGGCCTGGAAAGTGCTGGCTCTGTCCCTGAGGGGGACTCACAGGGAAAACCCACCCGCTCTCTTGATCGCCGCCCACGCTCGGCAGGTCCAGACGGCAGGGACTCTTTCATGTTCTGAAATCTGGGGGCTGCAGGCGGTGTGGTTCAAGGTTTTTGTTAACATTTAATTGGAAATCACTTCAAACTTACAGGGAAGTTGCAAAAATACCAGTGTGCAGAAAGCCCGCGTGCCCTTTCCCGGTGCACTTGCCCTTCCCCTCTGTCAGGGCGCCATGCGGGCCAGCATGGGCTCCGCAGCGTCCGTCCTCCTCTCACTGCCTGCCTGCCGCTATCCCCGCCCCCCCCCCCATGATGCCGCGTGGCGACTCCCTCCACTGCAGGCTCTCTGGGGTCAGGGTCCTCTTTGCTTGTCATAAGGGCACATCTTGAACTTGGAAGTACCCCCTAAGCCTGATGGTCCCAGGCCCTTTGACCCAAATGGCAGGCGCAAGGTCCGCGCAGGCGCGTTGACCAAGGAGATGTGTGCAGCGTGGCAGGCGTGCGTGCTGAGCCCGCGGCGGGGCAGCAGGGCTGGTGGGGCGCCAAAGCCTCGCTGGCGCTGACCTCTCTGTGGGGTCTGTGGCTGGGGCCTCTCCATCCTCCCTTCCTTACTCCTCTCCTCCAGGCCGCACGTGGGGAGCCCCCCCGGGCTGGAGCCTGGGGAAGGAAGCGCAGCAGCGGTGACGGCGCCCACCAGGCGGTGCAGCGCTGCGGTCAGGGTCCCCCGCCTCTGAAGCCTGAGAGCTCTTGCTTCTCTGGCAGGAACCGACCGCCGAGAATCAGGAGTGGTGAGCAGGGGGCTCTCGGGCCTGTGTCTGCCCCGCAAAGCGGAGGCCCAGGGGAGGACAGGAGCCCTGCAAAAAGGGGTGCTCCCAGGCAGCAGGGAGAATCCGGTCCACTCCTGCCAGCCCAGAGCAAGGGCAGAGGGAGGCTGTGGAGGATGCCCGACGCTCAGGGGATGCTCCCTTGTCCTGGGTACGGTCAGGGTCCCCTGCGCACCCTGCAGAGCATGGCTGGGCTCCTGCCGTGGATCCCCGTCTGTGTCTCCCAGCGTGCGGGTGCCCTGGCCGCAGCCTCCACGGCTCTGCAGCCATCGCTTCCTGAGTCTTGCGCTTCGTCCGGCGGGACATCAGGGGCTGGAAGAGCGGGCAGCCTCCCCCCAGCGTGAGGGTCCCCTGGCCCCGGTGAGGTGGTTCCAGCTTCACGGTGTCCTCTGCCGTCTCCCGTGAGGCCCTGGGGATGGGGTAGGGGGCTTTGTTTGCTGCGATGCTGCTTTGTCCCTCTTCCCAGCTGGCAAACTCTGCAAGCACGTGGTGTGGTCTTTCTCTTTTTTTTAAATTTAGTTATTGAGGTGTAGTTGTCTCTTTATTTATTGTTTCAATTTGCTCACTTAACGTAAGACCCAAATGCCAGCCAGCAGAGACGGGTCCATTGACAGATACGGGCCACACTGCCGTGTAACGCAGAGGTGACCAGGCCTCACGTGGAATCCTCTTGTCTTGCAGAGGATGCAGACACCCACGTGGGGTGTGGGACAAGCTGGGGCAGGAGGACAGCGGCAGCGAGCGCCGCTTTCTTTTATCCCCTTAAAATCAGTTACTTGGGCTTCCCTGGTGGTGCAGTGGTTGAAAGTCCGCCTGCTGATGCAGGGGACACGGGTTCGTGCCCCGGTCCGGGAAGATCCCACGTGCCGCGGAGCGGCTGGGCCCGTGAGCCATGGCCGCTGAGCCTGCGCGTCTGGAGCCTGTGCTCCGCAACGGGAGAGGCCACAACAGTGAGAGGCCCGCGTACCGCAAAAA